ATATTTTATAATTTTATATTTTAATATATTTTGATAAGATAATGTTTTACAATAATTAGCTTTTACTGCATTTTTGATCAAATAAATGCAGCCTTTTATGAGCAAACTTAAAAAAACATGACCAAAAATTGAAAAACGTATTCATTTTAATCTTAGCTAATATTTGTTGTAGTACTAGTGAATTTTATTTTAGCAGTTTGCCAAACACAGAGAGAAGAAGAAACAGGAGGAGAGGAGAGAATGAGACGAGACTAGACAAGACGAGAGCAGAGGACAGGATGAGAGGAGAGGAGAAAAAAGAAATGATCAAGTTACCCTGGGAATTACCATCTGACACCATGGAGACAGAGAGAGAGAGAGAGCAAGATGAAGAGAGACAGCAGCAGAAGATCAGTGTGAGCAGCTCTGCCATGATCTGCAGCAGATCCATTCATCCTCCTTCTGAAGAAACACTCCACACTCAACCTGCTACAACAAAATCAATGTTTTACCTTATTCTCGGCCTAAAACGCTGATTTATGCACAGGCGAGAGAGAAGAGCAGAGCACCGGTGCCAAGTTGCATTCAAACGCAGACAAAAGAGCCAAAAACTGCAATCTGACATGAGTGCAGGCAGAGAACACAGCATCTCACTAAATGTATCTTGAAATCTCAGAATCCACACCACAGCCTGAGGAGGATCCGACACTATCATTCAGTGACCTTTTCTGTGCAATTTCAAAGCAACCTCAATTTATCAAACAAGCGTAATTGGCACGGATCTGTGACTTCAGCTTGTGTTAAAGAAACACGTTACGTTCTCCTTGAGAAATGCCGCCTTTATTTAGCTCAAAAGGTTTATCAGCAACTTCCTCCAGCTGTCCACAATACAGCAAAACAAGCATATATTACTAGGGATGCTCCGATCGATCGGCCGGAGATCGGTATCGGCCGATAATCACATTTTATGACTCGATCGGTACTCACTAACTTGGCCGATCTCACGAACCGATCGCAATTTGATGACGTCAACGCGTGACAACGTACATGATGCGTGGGGACATAAATGATTTGGTGCCGCAGTCATGTCATCGCCAATGTGGAAATGCTATGACATTTCAAGAAACAATGAAAAATGTGCTATTTCTCGTGTATGTTTTGCATGATGATGAATGGATGGTTAATTTTTAACAGCAGATTCAGTGACGTTAGAGCTGATCTGCGCCTCACTGCACACGTCTGCAGCGCATTACGGCTCCACGGGAACCGGAGCTGATCGCGGCCGCTCTAGTCAGTGCTTGTGTTTATCAGCCAGCCTCAGCACGTTTCTGAAGTGGCTCTCCGCGATGCTTGGATAAAAATAGTCTTTTGTGAGGTGTCACAGAGTGGAGGACGGAACAAAACCTTGTCGGAGCCGTAAGGGATAACGGTAACATAATGCGCTGATCGTGGGCTGCTCTTAAATTAACATTTATTTATAAAACAAACTAACTTCTTAGTAGGCCTGTCACGATAACAACTTTTTGTTGTGCGATATATTGCCCCAGAAATAATTGCGATAAGCGATATTATTGTCATTTTAAAGACCATTTTATGCCACTGAATATATAATCATAATGTAACAGAATAATAATGCAAGAAGGCCAACACACTTCCAAATGACAACAAACTTTTAATTTTTAAGAATATTTAGATCATGGAAATTAAGTATCAAAATATTAGATACCTTAAAGAACTTGAATAAATAATAAATAAAAATGTTCTAACAAAAAGTGCAATGTAACAAGTAGAAAAAAATTTAAATGCACAAAGAACTTGTATGGAGATTTTTCCATCTGCAGATTTTTTCCTGACCTTCTTTTCTCTGTAAATTAAGGGTGCACACTGAAAAATACAATTACTACTTAGCAGTCAGATGTCCGTATGCACAAAGGCACAGATCCCTAAACAAGACCATATCTGCAGATTAAACTTTTTTTGTAGAAGCATCTTTTCAATATGTACGAGAAGCTGCAAAAGAAACAGGCGCAAATGGAATGTACAAAACATGGTGACATTAATTTGTAAGTAAATATAATGGGCTATATATTGCGTCACCAAAAATGATTGAGGTCATGCACACATATTGTGCGATAAGTCAATATATTGATTATTGCGACAGGCCTACTTCTTAGGGCATATTAGCCTACTCAATAGCATTAACACAGACTTTACTCCTTTACAACTTTATCTGGAATGTCACCGTTTCTGTCACTGCAACTTCCTAATCAAGCGAACGAACACACACATACACACACACACACACACACACACAAAATCGTCTGCCTCATGAAAAAAAAATTATTTATAATATTTGCATCATTTATGATTTATTTTATCCACCCGCGACCCACCCGCAAATAATCAGAATGCATTTTTTATTACCCGACCCGCGGATTATCCGCAGCACCTGTGGATATAGGAAAAGCAAAATAAGTTTGCTGCCGAAATCAGACGGACTTACTGAAAATGCAAATTAATTCTCTGCCAGCAGGAGGTGCTTTAAAGCGGGAGAAACAGAGGTTTCCCCAGTAACAGCTGTACACAAAGCAGTGCTGAGCTCACAAACTCTGCTTTATCAGGCATATAACTTGCAAGATGAAATGAAAATGATATCGACATTTTTCTAAAGATAGTCTTCCTTCAGAAATCCAGTGATATAAAAACACCCGCGCCTTGTTCTGATTTTTAAATGTGCAGTACGTGCTCATGTTTATTCAACAAAGCCTTTTGGAAAATCGGTCAGTTTTGATATTGTGGCGAGCGCCACAAATAAATTAGTGTATGGGAAATATCCCACAGCACAACCACCTGAGCCCAACTTCAGTCTACTCATCACCTTAACTTTAACTGCGTTTGTAGCCGGCGCCATAGCCAGACTGATAAACAAACACAGACCGGAAGTTAACTTCAGGCCAGGCGCGTGCGCCCGATGAAACCGTCTATATAAAGCTTGAAGCATCAGAATCGGCATCGTTATCGGTCGATCACCATGACAACAAATCGGTACTCAGTATCGGCTGCAAAAATCCTGATCGGAGCATCCCTATATATCACCTATGGACACATACATGGATGATAATATTTCCTCCAGCTGTCCGCAATACAGCAAAACAAGCATATATGGACACATACATGGATGATAATATATTTTTAAAAGTTTTCTAAGGTTGCATATATTTGACCATAAATACAGTATTAATAGTAATAATGTGATATATTACTACCATTTAAAAATAACTGTTTTCTAGTTGAATATGTTTTAAAATGTATTACTGTGATGCAAAGTTGACTTTTTTCCAGTCTTCAGTGTCACATGATCATTCATAAATCATTCTAATATGCTATTTAATTTATGAACTTTTTTTTATGAATCTACATTATAAAAACGTGTTTATCACTGGATAACTTCCTTAGGGAACATTAGATGTAGACAAAATTTAATTTAGTAGTCTAAAAAAGTATAACTTTCTAAAAAAAATTCTAACTTCAGAAGGTTCTGTTTGAGTTAGGTAAATTCATTCAAACGTAAAAGTTAAATTTTTTTTAAAAATGATATTTTGAACTCAGTGCTGACTGCTAGAATAGGTTAGAAAAGCAAAAACAAGAAAATAACAAGAAAAACGTCAGGTGCTTCAAAAATCTAGGTTTTTAAGGGTTAATGATCAAACATTGGGGAGAGTTTAGAACCAAATATTACTTGACAAATCCCTCAAGTTTTCCAGGAAAATCCACAAAAGCCTACCAGCTGGTGAAACATAATGAAAGTAATAAAAATACAAAGTATGTATTCTTAGTTTTAAGTTCTTCAGGTGCATCACCACACGGAAACGCTCTAAATTCAACACCTTTTAAACATAGCTGATCTGAAGAAGAAACAGGAAGCAACAAAAAATTGAGGAAAAATGCAGCGTTGCTGGTGTTTAAAGACACACTAAATGATTTGGGAAAAAGTGAGAGCTATTCTACACAAACACAGCCGCCCCTCCTCATCCACCTGCTCTATTTATTGCCTCCGGTCTGACATTGACCTGCAGTACCCAGGAGCTCAGGCTGACCCTGCACAGGTCTGCTGTGTATCGCACGATTGCACAACCGTAGGTTTGGTTTTTAACACTGGCATGGATATCAAACTATACAGGTGCAGCATGTTTTGCCTACACAGCCAAACTGCCTGTTACAGATGATCAGTTGTTCTTGTGTAGAAACGAGTATTTATATACACATATAAATGCTAAAGTCTACTGCCGTTTGTTCACTGAATAAAAACATCCAAACGACACAATAAAGATTCACAATGTTCCAGGTCTAGGTTAAAAATCTAGGTTATTAAAAGAATAAAACTATGGGCCCTATTTTAACGATCTAAGCGCATGGTCTAAAGTGCACGGCGCAGGTTCACTCAGGCCGTGTCCGAATCCACTTTTGCTAGTTTAAAGGGATAGTTCACCCAAAAAATGAAAATGTTGATGTTTATCTGCTTACCCCCAGGGCATCCAAGACATAGGTGACTTTGTTTCTTCAGTAGAACACAAACGGAGATTTTTAACTCCAGCCGTTGCAGTCTATCAGTCGTATAATGCATGGCAATGGTAACAAAATCTATGAGAGTAAAAATAACATGCACAGACAAATCCAAATTAAACCCTGCGGCTCGTGACGACACATTGATGTCCTAAGACACGAAACGATCGTTTTTTTTTTTTTTATATTTTACCTCTAATACACCACTATGTCTAACTGCTTTGAGCGCACGCACGGCATCTGGTGCGTGAGGTGTGTACGCGCTCTGGCGTAGTTTACGCAAACGTCGGAAGTGATCTCTCGCTCGTATACCTCACTCATCATCATACACAATCATTGTAGGTACGACGGCTAATCAAAATGGTACTTACTTGTGCTTATCCGGATTGTTCAAACCGACTTAAAACTAAAAGATTACTTTCTCTCGTGCTAACTAATTTGAGAGTGGTGACTTTCCACGTGTAGCAGAGTGAGGTATAGACCCAGTATGATTGGCTGGCGTTACCAAAACAGGTGAACCTATCAGTGTTTGTACTTTATCATGATTGGTCAGTTGGGTAAGTTTCATGAGCCAATTAGTGCCTGTGTTGTGCATATAAAAGGGGGAAGTGTTTGGTTGCTTGGGATGCATCATCCTTGGTACCGCCCCTTTGTGACATGTGGCACTGTGAATGAGTGCCAGCAGTTGGGTTATCCTCCTGTCTGTCGTGTGCTGGCTGTTGGCCAGTTTTCAGGTTTGTCCCTGTTTTAAAAATGCCTTTTTGCCTGTTAAATACAGAGGCTTACTACCTTGTTTGTTTTTAGATATGGGCCGGCAAGTAGCTGTAATTCTGCGTGGTGAGCGACCATGTGTATTGCAGCATTGTACTGTTTTCTTGGTAGGTATGGGTAGTTTAAAGTTTGTTTTTATGCGTTACTTTTGTTCAATGTCCAGCAGGATTGAATGCACGTCCAGGGGTTTCCAATGAACTTTATTGAAGCCTAATGAACCTCAAGTAACTGACTGCACTTCTGCTCTACTCTACTCTTGTTTTGTTCTGTCTGGAATTCATCTGGGTCTGTCTGTTATGTTTGGTGCATGGATTTAAGTGGGAGGGGTTGGCCATTGTACCTTGTACTGCGTGTCCACATGGAGTGCTGTGTGAAATATATATATTTTTTTTTTCACGAGTGTGTGTCATGGGAATTGAGTGTGGGGTAGAAATCTGAGGGTCTTTGCTGGCCACCTCCCTCTTTATTTTGTTATCTTTATTGTATTGTACTTGTTTTGTAAGTTACTGGTAAAGACATGTGATGTATTGAGACCTTGTGAAGTGTTGTATGTTTCCCAATTATATAATATTCTTGTTAGTGGAACTGATTTTGCTTTTTCAGATCACAAACTACTAAACTTCAGTTTAAGTTTTACAATCGCCTGTGAAAACAATGCTCACTTATCGTAAAATCTGTTCTGTGGATCCATCTGCTTCTGATTCAATAAGAGTTTCTACCTTGTCAGATTGTTTATTATCCAACTGTCCATCAGAAATATGCAGCATCTATAATAATACCATTTCCCAAATACTTGAGAAACATGCTCCTGTTAAAACTAGACTGGTTCCATCTGCACATGTTTCACCTTGGTTCACTCCGGAACTTCGAGCAATGAAAGCTATGGGACGTCGCTTGGGAAGGCTGTACAGGACTCACTGTGCACTCACTGGTTTTGAAAGAACATTTGCTCAATTACCGTACTGCCCTCAATGCTGCAAGATCCTAATATGTCTCTTCTACTATCAAGAATTCCATGTGCAGGCCCAAATCTCTGTTTGCTATGGTCAACAAACTCACTAACCCTCCACAACATGTTATGTCTGGCTCTGAGGTGCTTGTGAATAACTTTTCTCATTACTTTTCAGACAAATTGAAGTCTATCACTGAATCCATTTCCAAAGACACCCCTCATACAACTGACTCAAATGTTCACTTGATGTCAGCTGACTCGGCTCACACAACATACTCTCTTTCTGCTTTTACTCTCACTACTTCTGCTGCCATAAGTGATCTAATTGTGAAATCCTGCCAGATTGATCCTTCACCTACTGTTTTGATTAAGATGTGTGTTCCTGAGGTTGAACCTTTCATAACACATATGATTAACTGTAGTATAGCATCTGCCATTGTTCCAGCAGAATAAAAAATGGCTGCGGTGACCCCCATACTTAAAAAAACGGTTCTTGACCATCTAGATATGAACAATTATAGACCAATCTCAAATTTACCATTCTTAAGTAAAATTCTTGAAAAAGTTGTGGCTTCAGAGTTGAGATGATACTTAAATGCTAATGGCCTTTTTGAACCTTTTCGGTCAGGATTTCGTTCATCACATAGCACTGAAACTGCTCTTCTTCGTGTGGTTAATGACATTCTTCTGTCCATGGATTCTGGGTTAATAAACCTCTTGATCTAAGCTCTGCATTTGACACAGTCTGCCATGAATTACTCATCTCTCGCCTTTCTGATATCGGTATCACTGGTTCAGCTCTTTCCTGGCTCATTTCCTACATCAGTGATAGAAATTATATTGTAAAGTCAAAATGTATCAAAGACTTCGGCTTTCCTGTCCCAAACCTATCTTCA